CAGTAGAAGATGGCCCAAGTGCTTGGGCCCTTGCCCAAGCAAGGGAGATCCAGAAGAGGCTCCTGGCTCCTGGCTTTGGATCAGCTCAGCTCCCACCATTGGTGCCTTTGGGAGTGAACCAGGGGATGGAAGAACTCTCTCTGTAATTCTTTCAAATAAATAAATATTTAAAAAAGATTATATAACTGAAGTTTGTATTTTTTCTTCTTTTTGAATCTGATGCACCTTAAAGGTTAAAATTTCATACTTATTACCGTTGGCATTTTAAATACTGATCTCTACATTACAGAGAACTAGTGACACTATATTGTGTTGTAAGTACAAAGAGAAATAGAATAGTCAGCATTTGGGAAGAAATGAGATAAAAGACCTATATTATACAAAGCTATTTTATTGGGAGCCACACAGAACTCAACTTGAAAAAATAACACATTTTTAAAGGTTGAGTTTTATATTCAATGCACTTAATCATTCACTTTTAATTTGTACTCAGTGTTGCAGTTCAAGCAGCTTTACCACTTTTGTTAAAATCAATTTCTTTAAAATGTTGACTTAGGGGTGAGCATTTGGCCAATCTGTCAAGCCACTGGCATACTCATGTCCCACATTAGAGTACTTGGGTTTGGTTCCAGGCTCTGACTTCTGATTTCAGTTTCTTGCTATTGTGAATCCTGGAAGACAACAGTGATTGTTCAAGTAGTTTGATCCCTGACATCCATGTGAGAGATCAAAATGGAATTACTGGCTTCCAGCTTTGAGTCCCCAACCATTGCAAGCATTTGGGGAGTGAGCCAGCAGATGGGGGCATATTCTCTCTCTCTCTCTCTCTCTCTCTCTCTCTGTCTTAATAAATCTCTTGTTTCTGTCTCTCAAATATATAAATAAGTGAATTTTTTAAAATGTGGACTCAGGCTAGTGCTGTGGTATAGCAGGTTAAGCCACTGTCTGCACTGCTAGCATTCCATATGGGCACTGGTTCGAGTCCTGGCTGCTCCATTTCCAATCCAGCTCCCTGTGATGTACCTGGGAAAGCAGCAGAAGATGGCCCAAATGCTTGGACCTCTGCTGTCCTTGTTGGCTTCAGCCTGGCCTAGTCCTGGCAGTTGCAGCCATTTGGGGCGTGAACCAGCAGATGAAAGATCTCTCTAATTCTGTCAAATAAATATACAAACAAACCATCTTAAAAAGTGAACTTAAAGACAGTCAATAATGAAGTTAAAATCATCAGATAATAGACAAGATGATGATTTCTTTCAGATAGCCATGTAGCAATCATATAAGTTATTCCGTACCAATTAAAAGCATTGATCAGTTTCCCAATTTTATGTGATACTTAAGACATGTTCAAACTCACAGGATGTGTTCAATAAGTGCTTGTTATTTAAACATTGACATAATCTTGTGCTAGAGATCACATCTTCATAACTCCCACTACTTGTGTTTCCTTCTGTCCATATTACTGTGCAAAAAACATTCTTGAAATACATGCATAGTTTTTCTCATAGCACACACTTTTATGAACTTTTTGAAGACCCCTTATATTGAGATGCTTACACAGCTTTTCATCATTTGCATCTACTTTATTTGTCTAACTTCTTCCTCTGTAATACCTCAGCACTCATCTTCCATTCTAGCCAAGCTCATCTCCCTGAACATATTACCATATTCATTCCTGGCTGTAAACCTTTTCTTGTGTTTCTCTTTCCTGGGGTGCCCAGATATTTCCCCGCATTCAGATTCTGTACATCTTGCCCACCTGTGCCACAAAGATTTTGCAGCTGTTCCAGGACCAAGTAGTCTTTTTTTATCTGCAGTCCTGGGACATTTCTTCTCATTTGGCTGGTACTTAATCAAACACAGGCAGTTCACAGCTGGCAATATGTTGTGTTCCGATACTGCATTTCTCTGCCAGCTATTGAATGCATAAATAGTTTCCCCCATAAAATAAAAGATGAATAGCTTTCTAGGGCAGTGCACAAAAGTTCACTTAATGCACATACGTAAAGCAAGCATCAGGTACTGATATTCAGATTGCAATAGCTACTTAAAATATTGTTTTCTCCAGTAATGTATTTAGGAAGGCGTCTCCCTCTGTCAGTTCTAAGGGTGCCTCTGCAGGTTCCTCCTCCTTCCTAATTTGTCCCTGTTTCCTCAGTGACTTGGGAAAACCTTTGATAACTGCTGGTGCAGTGAGAATTTTGTAAGAAGCTTTCTGCTTGCAAGAGAATGAGTGGAACAGGGTGAGGATGGGGTAGGACCTGGAGGGAATGTTCCTGGTGAATAGAGAGTTTGTGTTCTCCTTTTTCCCCGATACCACCCTACTCCAAAACTATCTCTTTACTCTTAGACTATTACAGTCCATCTGCATAACCCCCTCTGCCATGCTTTTCTTTATTGTAATCTCACTATTCTGTAATCTATTGCCTATCACAATTAAGGTTTTCCCAAACCTTCATGTTTATAATTTCACTCTGTGCTCTTCAAAGATTTCTCCATTGCTCACAGCAAATGTTGATAATCCTAGCTGAACATCGGAATTACTTGGAGGACTTTTAAAAAGATAGATAGATAGATAGATAGATAGAGATATAGAAGATATAGATATAGATATAGATGCAGAGACACCCACACTCCATATCAGAGTGCCTGGGTTCAAGTCCCAGCTCTGTTTCCAGTTCTGTTTTCTAGTTTTTGTACATCCTGGGAGGAAGCTGATAATGGTTCAAGTACTAACTCCCTGCCACCCACATAGGAGGTCCAAATTGAGTTCCTAGCTCTTGGCTTCAGCCTGGCCCAGCCCTTGCTGTTGCATGCATTTGTTGAATGAACCAAAGGATGAACAATCTCCCTGTCTTCTCTCCCCTTTACCCTCTCTCTACTTCCCTCCCCTCCCCTCTCTTTAAAATAACAAATTCTAAAAATACAAGTACTTGACTCCTACTGTAGTCTTTCTGAGTCATAATTTTGGATAGAGGCCCCATTTATTGAATCTCCCCAAGGTATTTGGATGCACAGCCAGGACAGATAATCAATAACCTCTAGAATGAGGTTCAAAAATCTTAGCATGACATTCCAGTCCTTCTATGTTTAGAAGATTTATATTCTAATCCCAAGTTCTGTCATTAGCAAGCCTTGGGTAAGTCACTTCCTCTCTCTAGGTGTCAGTTTTCTCTTCTCTAAAATGAGATTGGTGCTTTTTCTGTTAAATGTTTCCATTCCAAATTAAAGATGGTTCTCAGCCACTTTTAGTAAATACTGCATTTTGTTTTATTTTTCCCATCCACTGATTCATACTTCAAATGCCTGCAACAGGAGCCGGCGCTACGGCACAGCAGGTTAAGCTGCATCTTGCTGCAGCAGCATCCCATATGGGCACTGGTTCAAGTCTCAGTTGCTCCACTTCTGATCCAGCTTATTGCTAATGTGCCTAGGAAAGCAGTAGAAGGATGGCCCAGGTCCCTGGGCCTCTGCACCCATGTGAGAGACCCAGAAGAAGCTCATGCTTTTCTTTTTCTCCTTTTAAAGATTTGATTATTTATTTGTGAGGCAGAATTACAGACAGCGAGAGAGGTCTTCCATACACTGGTTCACTCCCAGCTCTTGGCTTCAGCCTGGTCCAGCCCCTGTTGTTGCAGGCATTTGGGGAACAAACAATTGGATGGAAATTTGCTTGTTCTCATTCTCTGTTTCTGTCCCTCTGCCTCTCACATAATAAAAAGAAAAGAATGTTACTTTATTCTTCCAGGAAGTTAGTTCTAATATATTTTTATTGTTTGAGCTCTGTTATAGTTTCATTATTTGGGGCTACCAGTTTTTAGAAATACATTGAAATATGATGAGGTAGAACATATATCATTCACTTGAGGCATGTTTTGTTATTTGGCTTTTTCTGGTAACACCTTTGATGTATTTTCTCATGCAGATGACATTATAATCCTTAAAAATATAGGACTCATAAAAAAGAAAGAAGATAGACAGATCGATGGAGGTTCAAGATGGCGATCATACTCTCATAAGTATCACTTGCATAGAGGTAAAGTATACTAAGAATCACATATGGTAAAAAAAGAGTCTGAAATTTTTGTGAGTTCGTAGGTAAGTAATTCAAGAACCTGCAATGATGTACTAAAGTTGTATTATGTTTTCTTTTTCCTGGTCATGGACTCATACAGGGCTGGTTAGAATTTATGCTATGTCAAATGGAAAACAAATTTTTTAATTTATTTTTATTTTTTTAAAACTTTTACTTAGTAAATATAATTTCCAAAGTACAGTTTATGGATTACAATGGCTTTTACCCCCCCATAACTTCCCTCCCACCCGCACCCCTCCCATCTCCCGCTCCCTCTCCCATTCCATTCACATCAAGATTCATTTTCAATTATCTTTATACACAGAAGATTGATTTAGTATATATTAAGTAAAGATTTCATCAGTTTGCACCCACACAGAACATAAAGTGTAAAATACTATTTCAGTACTAGTAATAGCATTAATTCACGTTGGACAACACATTAAGGACAGAGATCCCACATAAGGAATAAGTACACAGTGACTCCTCTTGTTGACTTAACAATTTGACACTCTTGTTTATGGCATCAGAAATCTCTCTAGGCCCTAGTCATGAGTTTCCAAGGCTATGGAAGCCTCTTGAGTTCGCTGACTTCAATCTTATTTAGACAAGGTCATAGTCAAAGTGGAAGTTCTCTCCTCCCTTCAGAGAAAGGTACCTCCTTTTTTGATGGCCCATTTTTTTTTACTGGGATCTCACTCGCAGAGACCTTTCATTTAGGTGTGTGTGTGTTTTTTGTTTTTTTTTTTTTTTGTTTTAGTTTTTTATTTATTTATTTTTTGTCAGAGTGTCTTGGCTTTCCTTGCCTAAAATACTCTCATGGGCTCTTCTGCCAGATCGGCATGCCTTAAGGGCTGATTCTGAGGCCAGAGTGCTGTTTAGGACATCTGCCATTCTACGAGTCTGCTGTTTATCCCACTTCCCATGTTGGATCATTCTCTCCCTTTTTTATTCTATCAGTTAGTATTTGCAGACACTAGTCTTGTTTGTGTGATCCCTTTGACTCTTAGACCTATCAGTGTGATCAATTGTGAACTGAAATTGATCACTTGGACTAGTGAGATGGCATTGGTACATGCAACCTTGATGGGATTGTATTGGAATTCTCTGGCACATTTCTAACTCCACCATTTGGGGCAAGTCCGATTGAGCATGTACCAAATTATACATCTCCTCCCTCTCTTATTCCCACTCTTATATTTAACAGGGATCACTTTTCAGTTAAATTTCAACAGCTAAGAATAAATGTGTGTTGATTACAGAGTTCAACCAATAGCATTAACTAGAACAAAAAAAAATACTAGAAGGGATAAAGTATTAAATTGTACATCAACAGTCAGGACAAGGGCTATTATATGTGTTACTTCTCTAAGGGAGGGCAGGATGAGCAATCAGAGATGACACTACTGCTTTACATGTCTCTGAAACTGAAATAGCATTTATTAAAGTAGTTTATCTTGCTGTTGCTACCTTAAGTATTAAGCCTTTTTTCTATAATGTGAAAGAAACATTATGGGCTGAGAGTGCTTTGAACTTGCTTACAAGCCTCTCTGATTAGTACAATCCTTCAGTAATAGAAGGCAATACAGGAAGAGCATGGTTGATACTCTGGACATCATGACGTCCAGATTTTGAAGAAAGGAATGTTATAGGATGAGAACAGGGTAGAACATGAAGAATGTCCTATGTTCCCCTGATCGCATTGGACAATGTGGTGTGCATAGTTTAATGTGATTGGGCTGAAGATTGCCATAGTAGAGAAGTTAGCTCAACAATTGAGTCTCCATGGTCTGATTAACAGGTTGGACTCACCCTGACCTTGTGCATACTTTAAGCCCCTGCCAGTTGCTTACTCAGCTTCATTACAGTCTTTGGCTTAGCCAAAAGAAAGTGGCTTAGCCTGTTCTGAGAACAGGTAGGATGGTGGTTATAAGAGCAAAGAAGCTAAAAATGGTGACGTGGCATTCTCATGCTCCTAATCAAACTTAAAATAGATCTTTGTAAGTGTTTTAGAGATTAGAGTCTTTGACAGTCTGTTAAGCTGTGTCTTTGTATTCAAAGCAAAGAAGACAATTGAGGCAACTATCAACATGATTATTATAAAGCAAACAGCTTCTCTCTATTTCTCCTTTTTCTATTCAAGTATTGCTTCAATTAATTTCAGATAGTATTCCCAACTTTGGTATGTAGAACCAAATTTGAGGTATTATACACAGAGAAAATGTCACTGTTGAAATAAGTAAATAGAAATAGTATGGCAAAGAGTGTTCTCAATTTCAGAGAAACTTCTAGATGATATTAGAATAATAAAATATAAAAAGTTTTGCAAAGCCCAGTGCATGGCTTTGAAAAAATTAGATCCTATCTGTGATTACTTTAAAATTTACTGTATATGAGTGAGATAGTAATTTTTCCACTCAATTATTGTTTATAGCTATTGTCTATATTCCCACTAAACTAGGGTCTTTGTGCTTTTTACTTGTTAAATCTTTTATTCAGTGAAGTATTGAGCTTTTTTCTGTAATGTAAATTTAAAATGTTATCTCAAAAACTGAAAGAAAGGGAGAAAGAAAGGGTGAGGGAGGGAGGGAGGGAGGGATTATCATTATGTTCTTAGACTTGTATTTACAAATCATGTTGAATCTGTTAAAAACTAAAAATTTTAAAATTTTTTTAAAATTATTTTAAAAGATCATAGTACTTTGGAAAGACATTGAATTTACTGACTGAAAATACAGAAAATAATTATTTTTCAAAGGATACCCAAGATTCAGAAACAACTTTGAGGACAGAAATCATAATAAAATATACCATGAGATGTCTGGATTCAGATTCGGACAAAACCTTTTAAACAGGCTGCCTTCAACTGAGCAGGTAAATAAATACCAAAATTTAGTTGATATTAAAGAACCCAAATTTAATGTATTTCTAAATATTTAATTCTGTTGAGAACAGCGGTTGTTTCTTAGTATTTATCTGTAGTGTCTTAAACATTTTTTTTTTGCTATTTTCAATAGTTACTTAAATTTTGAATTTATAAAATGCCAAAATAAACAATTGGTTATTGTGATTGTACATTATCATATTTATCTTCATAGTGAGTCTTTGAAAGCTGGAAGTCACATGAAACTAGATTTGATGCACTCTGGTACAATCAGGTGGGACAGACTATAATTACAAATTCATTTCATCTAAACTTTTATGGTTGAGTCAGTCATGGGATAGGAATTTTATATGTTCTCATACCCAGATTCACAGGTTAACATTGGTGTTAGTGTGTCTATTTGGCCTATTCTGAAGTGATTCTTCTTAAAATGTTATATAGTCATTTAGTAAAAAGCAAAAAACAACAGAGACCTTAAATCATTTCTGTCAAAGTATGTAAATGAAAGTTGTTTATTTTGAAGAAGTTAAATTGATTGAACATACATTGATTCGATGCCTATCCCCTGCAGGCACTATGGTATCAGAACAACCTGCTTTAAATAGTTTATGTGGCAGTAGGAGAGAAAGAGAATAAATTGATTTTTTGAAAATATTTATTTATTTATTTGAAAGTCAGAGTTATACAGAGAGGCAGAGAGAGAGAGAGGTCTTCCATCCACTGGTTCACTCCCCTGATGGCCACAATGGCCAGAGCTGCACTAATCCAAAGCTAGGAACCAGGAGCTTCTTCCGGGTCTCCCCACGCAGATGCGGGGGCCCAAGGACTTGGGCCATCTTCTACTGCTTTCCCAGGCCATAGCAAAGAGCTGGATAGGAAGTGGAGCAGCCGGGACTCGAACCAGCACCAATAAGGGATGCCGGCACTGCAGGCCGCTGTTTTACCCACTACAGCACAGGCCCCTGAATAGTTTTCAATGTTGCTTTGTAATTCTAGTAAGTTAGTTTTGTACTTCACAAGATTTAAATCTTAATATCAGGAGAACACAAGTTCATTTATTCAAAATTCTTTTAAGAGAGTTTCTTATTTATAAGGAAAGAAAACTAATGTGCATTTCATTTTCAGAGGGTAGGATATCTGTAATACACAAGTTTATGAAGATAATTCTTAAATAATCAATTATAAAGATTGCAAGTTCCTTTGGAAGGGTACTTGGGTGCATGTGGGTCTTAGGAAATGGGTCCCAATCCTATATTTCCTGCTAATCCGCTGTGCTCCCAACAACAGTCACACAGAAGGAAGAAAGAGGTACATGTGCATTCTTCCTAGCTTACTTGTTCAGGTTTCTCAGTAGAAATGCTAGAGAGTGGCTGTGCCTTCATGCTTTAGCAAAGCAACTAACTTTTGGTAATTTTTAACAGTTTTCTGTGCATAATATTCTTTATGCTAGTACTGTTCCTGCTATTTAGCAGTTTGATTCCAGCTTCTAGTAGTGTGGTACTAGAAAGTTAATAATGCTAAAGCTATGGCATGTTTTGTTTGCCTGGCAACATATACTAGTGGAAGGTTTGATTTCTCTGTGTGGTCCATATGACTTGTTTTTTAATGTCATAGAGATTTGTCAAAGTTTTCATTATTTCTATTTGGCTGATTGACTTCACTGTCCATTTGTTTTAAAAACTGAAAAAATAGAAAGGCTGAGTTGTTGTCAGCTTAATTTATTTGAACAGTATTAAGCCAACCTTCTGCTTCTTTATAGCTTTCTTTTCCCTTACTTGCTTTGCTTTTTGCTCTAAAATTTGGTGTTAATTTATATTGAGGATACAGGTTTTACTTTGATGTTCATCAAACAACAAAAAATAAATACTGAATACTTTCCTTTGATAATAAGGATTTGTACTACAAAATATTGTTCACTATCCTGTCAGTTACAAAGTCATAGAATCTGTTGTTTAGTAAAACATAGATCCAGAAAATGCTACATACAGCATGACTTTGGAATATATTCAAATTCTTAAATAATTTCCCATATTTTTTTCTTTGTTAAGGTTTTTTTGTTCATAATGTTCTTTGTACCAACGATGACATGGGGCATCAAAGCTATTCTGCAAATTAATATTTAGCTGCCCATAGAAATGATCTTGAAAATTGCCATTAACTTAATCAAATCATCTAAACATCTAAACATGGGTATATGTTTCATTTATTTTGCATAATTGGGGTCCTTTGCAGGAGCAGTACAGTGACAACTATAATTTCCATTTGAAGAGGAATTACCATCAATCAGAAGGACATCAAGACTACACAGAAGGAAACAGAATTGGAAGAAACGAATTAGAGGGATCTAAATACCATTTAGAGCGACCTTATGTCCCTGAGAGATATCATAGCCAATTAGAGATATATTATGGCAATTCTGAGAGATTTCACGACCAATACCAGAGATTCTATGGCCAATATGAGAGAGCTTGTCAACTAGATTGTTATTATGGCCATTCAGAGAGGTTTTATGGTCCATTTGAGAGATACCATGGTCCATTTGAGAATTATGACCGATCAGAGATATATGGCCAATCTGAAAGATACTATGGCCAATCAGAGAGATTTTATGGTCAACCAGAGAGATTTTATGATCAGTCAGAGAGATATTACAGCCAGTCAGACAGATTTTACGGAGACTATCCTGGCCAATCAGAGAGAGGTTACGGTTACTCAGGGAGATTTCATGGTCCCTCAGAGAGATGGTATGGTCCGTCAGGGAGATTTCATGGTCCCTCAGAGAGATGGTATGGTCCGTCAGGGAGATTTCATGGTCCATCAGAGAGATATCAAAGATACTCATCATTAGGAAGATTCAGAATGCTACGCAAAACCGAGTTCAAATTTGACAGGTAAAAGCACAAAAAATAATAATTAGTACAATGTGTTGAGTGATGTGGAAATATACAAGTATGCTTTATGTGTCTGTATTATCTTTATTTTATACTATATTTTTTGTGACAGTCATGTATGGAGACAGATATATTAACAGAATGGAGGTAATATAGATGGTATTGATATTGGTTTTTCAATTTGCTGATGTCCTGTAGCTGTCATTCAGTTTTCCATGATGTCCCATTAAGTTGTTATATCTAGGTCTATTTTCCCTGGCAGAACCTTTCCTACTGTGCCTTCCCCACAATCAGAATATATGGATGGACTCAGTGTCCTGTTCCCTGGGGACCTTCCAACCCGTAGGCAAGCTAATCCAACAACCAACTATGCCAAATTGATAATACTCAATATAATTTATGATAGTGAATTTCTGTGTTTCCCTCCTATCTTCTTCCTGAAGAACTCTCAGTCTTTAGCAGAAAAAATGATAGATGTGTCTTTTTAGCAACTTAACTTTTTTGCTTTATTCAAGTCAAACCAAGGGGAAAGGATGCCTATTCTATGCATAAATGCAATACTAACTTCTGAATCTATTAGACTACACTATACCTATATATTCACTATGCCCTTCTAAAACTATTAGGGTATGTCTAACAACCAAGAAAACACAGAAATTTAAATAGTACTGTGGATTGAGTTTTCAAAAACACAAGACATTTCTATGGCAATTTGTTGGGTTGTTGAATAATTTTTTTACTTTGAATTTCTCAGTAATTACCTTGAGTTTGCATTGGCTATAAATGTTTATTCAAATGTTGTAGCTCAAGTTAACTATTGTACAGAATCCTGATTTCAGCTGCAAAAACTTTTTACAAAATATGTGTGTGGGTCATTGTGTATGCAGGTTTTAAGGAAAAAGGCCCTGTGCTACTTATTAGCAATTTTTTTTTGTTTTCTTTTTTTCCTTTTTTTATTTAGTAAATATAAATTTCCAAAGTACAGTTTATGGATTACAATGGCTTCCCCCCCCCATAATTTCCCTCCCCCTCGCACCCCTCCCATCTCCCACTCCCTCTCCCATTCCATTCACATCAAGATACATTTTCGATTATCTTTATACACAGAAGATCAATTTAGTATATATTAAGTAAAGATTTCATCAGTTTGCACCCACACAGAAACACAGAGTGTAAAATACTGTTTCAGTACTAGTTACAGCATTACTTCACTATGCACAACACATTAAGGACAGATCCCACATGAGAAGTAAGTACATAGTGACTCCTGTTGTTGACTTAACAATTTGGCACTCTTGTTTATGGCGTCAGTAATCTCCCTAGGCTCTAGTCATGAGTTGCCAAGGCTATGGAAGCCTTTTGAGTTCGCCGACGTCAATCTTATTCTGACAGGGTCATAGTCAAAGTGGAAGTTCTCTCCTCCCTTCAGAGAGAGGTACCTCCTTCTTTGATGGCCCCATTCTTTCCACTGGGATCTCACTCGCAGAGATCTTTCATTTAGATGTTTTTGTTTTTGTTTTTTTGGTTTTTTCTTTTTGCCAGAGTGTCTTGGCTTTCCATGCCTAAAATACTCTCATGGGCTCTTCAACCATATCCGAATGCCTTAAGGGCTGATTCTGAGGCCATAGTGTATCTGCAATTTTTTATAGCATGATTTGTTATAAAAGGTTAAAATGTTTTTAATACTAGTGGTGGGAACTTATATTTCTGCACTTATTAGGGATTTCCATGTTTTATTTTAAATAGTTTTAAATAGCATAATAATTAAGTTAAAGCACTTAAAATTACATTTATATTATTATCCAGTAACATTCCTGTAATTTTGCAAAAATGTTTTCAAATATCAAATGAACAAGTCTGTTCAGATTTTTCCTTTACCTTTTATTCTTACAATATTTTATATCAGTACAAATAAATAGGACTTGAATGGTTAAGGGTAGAACTATCAGATGTAGAACTATTATTAAACAACATGTACAGTACAGAAAAGTCATCTATTTTTTAACTGATCTTTTGGGAACTCATCTACTCCACAGCATTTTATTCGAATATATGTAATTTGACCAGATAGGTTTAATAATATCCTCAGAACCAGAATTTCCTTCTGTGCCACATATAAAATGAAGAATTCGGTAATTTCATGCCCCTACATAAAAGGTACTAAGTACATTTCTTTTTTTTTAATATTTATTTATTTATTTGAAAGGCAGAGTTACAGAGAGGCAGAGACATAGAGAGAGGTCTTCTATCTGCTGCTCACCCACTATGCCACAGCATGGCTCCACCCCCCTTTTTAAAATTTTTTATTTATAAGTACATTTCTATCTTAAGTCAGTCTAGAAGCCCAACATGATCCTAATAAAAGTCAAATTTGCATTGGGTATAAATATGTGAAATATAACCATCATACAGAATCCTGATTTCAACTATAAAATTTATTTCGAAAATGTATGTGTGGTTTATTGTGTCATGCAGGTAAACAAAATAGGATATCATAGATAGAAAACTACTTAGGAAGATTTGTAATAAGTATTTTCAGTTTTAAGAAAGCAGTCATACTCCCAATAAAAATTCTGAACAATGTATGTTACAAACAAGGTATGATTTGGATTTTTTTAAAAGATTTATTTATTTATTTGAGAGGCAGAGAGAGACAGAGAGAAAGGTCTTCTATCTGCTGGAGAATGGCCCAATGACCAGAGCTGGGCCGATCAGGAGCCAGGAGCTTCTTCCAGGTCTCCCCCATGCAAGGCCCTGGGCCATCCTCTGCTTTCCCAAATCATAGCAGAGAGCTGGATCGGAAGTGGAGCAGCCAAGACTCGAACTGCCACGGTATGGGATGCCGGCACTGCAGGCAGTGGCTTTACCTGTTGTGCCACAGTGCTGACCCATGAATTTGGATTTTTAACTTCCCTCAAAATATCTCATAACAATTTCAGCTTTATGTCTCTTTCCTGACATGGTAATTATATTCACATTCAGATGCCTTCTTGGCTGAATTGATAGAGATAACAAAAACTTTCTTTTGTACCCTTACTAAATAAGAAAAGGGCTTGATTTCATTCTTCTGCATATAGATACCCAATTTTCCTACCAAGATTTATTGAAGACTTTCCTTTCCTTCATTGAGTGGTCTTGGCACCCTTGTTAAACATCATTTGATTATATAAGTAAAGTTCTCTTCTAATCCAGTGGACTCATAATATGGTACTGTTTTTATTGTGACTTTTAGAAATTGTGACTCTTACAACTTATTTCCTGTTTTTTAAGATTTGTTTATCTGAAAGGCAGAGTGACAGAGAGAAAGAGAGGGAGGGAGATTTTCCATCCACTGGTTTACTCCCCCAAATGGCTGCAACAGCAAGGGCTGAGCCAGCCTGAAACCTGAATACTGGAACTCCATCCTGATCTTCCGTGTGGATGGCAGGGACCCAAATAGTCTTTAATTTCTCTCAGTAGTGTTTTTGGTATATAAGTCTTTTCACTTCCTTGGCTAGGTATATACCTAATTATTTTGTTCTTTTTAATGCTACTATTCATGGAATTATTTTCTTAATTTCCTTTTTGAGTTCATTATTACTGTATAGAAATGAGGCTGATTTTGTGTTTTGATTTTTGTATCTTGCAATTTTGCTGACTTTGTGTCTTGGCTGTAACTAACTGGCTTTTTTGATGTGTGTCTTTAAGGCTTTCTACACAGAAGATTATGTCATTTGCAGACAGACAAAATTTTCTTCTTCCTTTCCATTTGAATTATTTTACTTCTTTTCTTGCCTAATAGTGGTGCCTAGGATTTCCAATACTGTTTTGAATACAAGTGATATAAGTACACGTTTGCCTTATTCCTGATCTTAGAAAATTGAGTATGATGTTAGCTGTGAATTTTTCATAAATGAACTTTGTTAGTTGCAATAGTTTCCTTCTGTTGAGAGTCCATTGTTTGTTTTTGTCTTGAAAGGGTATCGAATCTTGTCAAATCCTTTTTCTCCATCCGTAGGAATGACAGTGTCCTTCCTTCTGTTCATGTATATTAACATTGATTTTTGTGTTTCAAACCATTCTTACATTCCAAGAATAGGTCCTACTTGGTCATGGTGTATGATCCTTGTAATGTGCTGTGAATTTGTTTTACTAGTGTTTTGTTTAGGATTTTTGCAACAATATTCATGTGGGATATTACACTTTTCTTGTATCTTTCTCTGACGCTGGTATCAGGATAATGGTTGCTTTATAGAGCTTGTAAATGTTTCCTCCCTTTCAGTTGGTGGAAAAGTTTCATGAGGCAGAATTCTGGTAGAATTCTCCAGTAAAGCCATTTGATCTAGGGCTTTTCTTTGTTAGGTTTTTGATTACTAAATCAATTTCTGTTCAGACTTTCTATTTCTTCATTATTCAGTTTCAATAAATTAAGTTTCTAGGACTTTATAGATCTATCTCCTAGGCTAGCCAATCTTAGCAAACAATGGTTCATAGTACCCTCTTACAGTTCTTTTTATTTCTATGACCTCTCTTGTAGTATCCCTTTTCATTTATTTTTTATTTTTTCTTAAGATTTATTTATTTATTTGAAAGGCAGAGAGAGAGGTCTTCCATCTGCTGTTTCACTCCCCAGATGGCTGCAATAGCTGGAGTTGAACAGATCTGAAGCCAGGTGCTTCTTCTGGGTCTCCCACGTAGCTGCAGGGGCCCAAGCACTTGGACCGTCCTCCACTGCTTTCCAGCACTGTAGGTGGTGGCTTTACCTGCTATGCCACCATACCAGCACCCTTTTAATTTCTCTTTTTTTAAATATTTATTTATAGGGGATGGCACTATGGTGTAGCAGGTAAAGCCCCTGCCTGTGGTCCTAGCATCCCATATGGGCGCCAGTTCGAGTCCCAACTACTTCACTTTTGATCCAGCTCTCTGCTATAGCCTGGGAAAGCAGTGGAAGATGGCCCAAGTCCTTGGGCTCCTGTACCCACGTGGGGGACCTGGAAGAAGCTCCTGGCTTCTGGCTACAGATTGGCCCAGCTCCAGCTGTTGTGACCATTTGGGGAGCGAATAGCAGATGGAAGATCTGTGTCTGCCTCTGCCTCTCTGTCTCTGTCTCTCTCTCTCTCTCTTTCTCTCTCTCTTTGTGTGTGTGTAACTCTGCCTTTCAAATAAATAAATAAATCTTTAAAAACATTTATTTATTAATTTGAAAGGCAGAGTGACAGATCTTCCACCCACTAGTTCACTCACCAAGTGGCTGCAAGTTTAAACAGGTTGACAATTATAATGTGTCTTAGTGTTATTCTTTTGAATACATTCTAATTGGAATTTTTGAGCTTCTTGGATCTGTATGTTTATCAGTCTTTATGTCATCAGATTTAGGAAGTTTTCAAGTAAGCTTTCTGCCTCAGGGTACTCCTTGGATTGCTATAATGCATGACTAGTCCACTTAGTAGTGCCTCATTAAGTCTCTTAGGCCCTCATTACTTTTCTTTGTTCTTTTTTCCTTGATTATTTCAAATGGCCTGTCTTCAAGTTTGCTTATTTTTTTTTTGGCCTAATCAAGTCTGATACTGAACCCCTCCAATTTATTAATTCAATGATTATGTTTTTCCGTCCCAGAATTTCTGTTTGGTTCTTTTCCATAATTTGTATTTCTTTGGTGATATTCTCATTTTGTTCATGTGTCATTTTCTTGGTCTTATTTAGTCTTTTTTTTTTCTTTTAGCTCATTGAGTGTGTTTATGGAAGTTATTTAAAATTCTTTGTCAGACAGTCTATGGATCTGCATTTCTTTAGGGTAGTTTTTTGGAAATTTCCTTTGTTCCTTTGTTTGGGCTATGTTTCCTTCCCTTTTTGTTTGTATGGTTTATGAGTTTTTGCTAGAATTTGGGCATTTGAAAAAACAAACATCTCTTCCAGTCTTTGCATACTGACTTTGTGCAGGGGAAGATCCTTACCAATTAGTTCAGCTTGACATTGTTTCATTCTCCTTATAATCTGCCTGCCAAATTACTGCTCAACGTGCTGCTTGCCTCAGCTTTCAGTGACTTCCAAACTTTGGTGCCAGTGCTGTTAGTGCTCTGAGTCAGTTGAGACAGAAAACTTTTGTTCCTATCTCAAAGGAAAGAGCCTTGATATGAAGGTTTCTTTCCATGTACACTGCACCATGCTGCATAGGAAGGGAGGCACAAATGAGTGTTCCAAATGCTGTAACTTTAATTACTCCTTTCATTGGAATCCCTTCTTGGTTTTACAGTGGCCTGGGTGCTAGCTGCATCCTCAGCTGGTTGCTAGAATTCTTACAGAAACATTTTGGTTACTATTAACTTGGTATCTTTATGTGGAAAGGAGAGCCTGCCTGTAGCTTCCTAGTTTGCCATTGTTTTAGTCTTCTTGGGCTTCCATAATGAATTACTATAGACTGAGGTTGCTTCAACAGCAGGAATTTTTCATAGTTCTGGAGGCTGAAAGTCCAAGATCAGCTTGTGAACATGGTGAGGATTTAGTGAGGGCTTTCTTCCTAGCTTGCTGATGGTCCCTTCTCACTGTTTCCTCACATTGCAGAGAATGAACCCTATTCTCTTAGTCTTATAAGGACACTAATCCCATCATGGAGGTCGCACCCTCATGACCTCATCTAAGCATATTTGCCTCCCAAAGGCTCTACCTTCAGATAGCATAAATATATACAACTATAAACTATCAATAACTTAGAAAAATATTGCTTAAAGACGTATGTCTTTCAAATTAAAAGATTGCTTTTTACATTATCATCCTTTATGATTAATAACAGGTATTTTGTGACAAACAGAAGGAATGATTACATTCAGAGAAAGATGCAGCAAAGGAATATGAACCGCAGGGTAAGTGTCAGCACTTTATAACAGAATCTAGTTGTTTTTATATATCATTTTCATTTGAATAGACTTACCCTTTGCAGGCTTTGTTTTTTCTAATAGTAAATTCTGGCACCTACTTGTATTGGTGATTACTTTGGTAAGTTTTAAAACCTGTTCATGAATATCAGTGAAACATATGTAGAAGCTACATGTCATAAATGTCTACATAAGTAAAGTTCTTCCAGCCTTATACTACAATTTCTTCCTTTATCTCCCATCCTACCTTATATTATTTAGCCTCTAAGTATGCATTAGACAAAAGTGATAAAAATTGATGCAAATAATGTTTATTAGTAGCATGTGTTATTTTTTCTTTAGACACATATTAATTTGAAAGTCAGGGTGACAGATCTTTTTTTTTTTTTTTGACAGGCAGAGTTAGACAGTGAGAGAGAGACAGAGAGAAAGGTCTTCCTTTCCCATTGGTTCACCCCCCAAAATGGCCGCTGCGCTGGGCCGATCCGAAGCCAGGAGCCAGGTGCTTCTCCTTGTCTCCCATGCGGGTGCAGGGCCCAAGCACTTGGGCCATCCTCCACTGCCTTCCCAGGCCACAGCAGAGAGCTGGCCTGGAAGAGGAGCAACCGGGACAGAATCCGGCGCCCCAACCGGGACTAAAATCCCGGTGTGCCGGCGCCGCAGGCAGAGGATTAGCCAAGTGAGCTGCGTTGCTGGCCAGATCTTCTATACACTGGTTCATTCCCCAAATACCTGCAACAGGTAGGGCTGGGCCAGGCCAAAGACAGGAAATTAAGTTAATGGGATAATATGGTTTTCCACCTAACTTAACTATCTTGAACACATAGTTGTAGGCATATTATACATATTTTGATGACCTCCTTTGTGATTTTATCTTTATGTTCTTTTTTTTTAACTTTTATTTAATGAATATAAATTTCCAAAGTATGGGTTATGGATTACAGTGGCTTTTCCCCCCCAGCTCCAGACAAGCGTGTCTGGATTCAGACCATATCAAGATCTTGAAGGCCGGCGCCGCGGCTCACTAGGCTAATCCTCCGCCTAGCCGCGCCGGCACACCGGGTTCTAGTCCCGGTCGGGGCGCCGGATTCTGTCCCGGTTGCCCCTCTTCCAGGCCAGCTCTCTGCTGTGGCCCGGGAGTGCAGTGGAGGATGGCCCCAAGTGCTTGGGCCCTGCACCCCATGGGAGACCAGGAAAAGCACCTGGCTCCTGGCTCCTGCCATCGGATCAGCGCGGTGCGGCCTGCCGCAGCGCGCCGGCCGCGGCGCCATATTAGAGGGTGAACCACCGGCAAAAGGAAGACCTCTCTCTGTCTCTCTCTCTCACTGTCCCACCTCTGCCTTGTCAAGAAAGAAAAAAAAAAAAAAAAAAAAAAAAAGATCTTGAGAGTTTTCTTCTGGGTCACTAATAGCCATAAGGCCTTGGGAAAGTCATTTGACTCTTCAGAATCCCAGTTTCCTTAGCTGTATGTGAGGAGGTTGGACTGCTTGATCTCTAAGGGCCCACTGGCTTTGACATTCTCGCTTCTGTAAATAAAGGCCAAAAATCTGAAATTGAATGTTAGTCTAAGGGGGGAAGGATAAGAATTGTCTCTGAAAATATGGGGTCCATGTAAAATATAGACACTAAATACCTCATGCTGAGCAATGATTTTTGATAATTTGTTTCAACTTTTCCCATTTAGATAGGACTGCAGAAAGAGTCCTACGGAAAGGGGTGCAACTCTAATGAAATGGAGCGCAACTCCCACAAAAGTGAGTGTCACTCCTGCAGAGGTAAGCGCCACTCTCAGGAAGGTGAGCGCCACTCCAGCAAGGGTGACCACCACTCCCACGAAGGCCACTCTCGTGAAGGTGACCGCCACTCCCAGGAAGGTGAGTGCCACTCCCACGAAGGTGAGCGCCATTCCCGCAAAGGTGGCCGCCACTCCCACGAAAGTGACCACCACTCCCACGAAGGTGAGCGCCACTCCCGCAAAGGTGGCCGCCACTCCCACGAAGGTGAGCGCCACTCCCGAAAAGGTGGCCGCCACTCCCGTGAAGGTGAGCGCCACTCTCGCAAAGGTGACCGCCACTCCCGTGAAGGTGAGCGCCACTCCCACAAAGGTGAGCGCCACTCTCGTGAAGGTGAGCGCCACTCCCACAAAGGTGAGCGCCACTCCCATGAAGGTGAGCGCCACTCCCGCAAAGGTGAGCGCCACTCCCGCAAAGGTGAGCGCCACTCTGAGGAAAATGAGCACCACTCTGAAGTAGGTGGACAACACTCTGATAAAAACAGGCAACACTCTGATAAAAATGAGCCTCACTCCGAGGCAAATGAGCGCCACCCTGAGGAAAATGAGCACCTCCCTGAGGAAAATGAGCGCTATCCTGAGGAAAATGAGTACCATCCTGAGGAAAATGAGCGCCACCCTGAGGAAAATGAGCGCCACCCTGAGGAAAATGAGCGCCACCCTGAGGAAAATGAGCACCATCCTGAGGAAAAGGATCAACACTCTGAGGAAAAGGAAAGCAAATCTGACGAATACAATGCAGGAAATGAAGGGTAATTGCAGACAGCTAAATTTAACTTTAATTATTCTTAGGGAAACCTATGAAACAAAAAATGTAACTTCCAAGTAATCTTTAACAACTTTTGTAAACAATCCTAATGCAGAACCAGAAAATTCTTAAGCAAAACTGCTTGATTTCAGTTTTACTCTTGAGATTTTCATGTGTTTTCCTATGGTAGATATAAATGTCATGATATTGTAACCTTCCTTCCTAAAACATACAGGAATTGCCACCTGTACAATTTCAATGCTCTCAAGATTTTTCCTCATTTCCAGCCTTAAATTTTAAAACCGTTTCTGCTCATTAATAGTAACATATACCTCACATGCTAAGTAAATTTCAGTATTCCAGATTATCTCAGTTCACATAATGGAAGACTGCCCAGTGATGTCAAGGAGGAAAAAATTAGTTTCCTCTATCCTTTCTGAGTTCTTAGTTGAGACAGATCTCTATAACAAAAGACAGAAATATAAACAAAGGAAAACAAATTGGAAATTTATTAGCATTTATACCTTCTTTATATGTACCTGCATCTCCTATTGGAATGCCCAGGTTCGATACCAGCTTCAGCCTCCTGCTTATGGTAATATTTAATGCTAGTCTCCTCAAGTGGCTCAAGTGATTGGTTTTGTGCCTCCCACATAGGATATCTGGAGAGTGAGCCAACATATAGGAGTTCTTTGTCTGTCTGTCTCAATTTTGGGGGGTTGTGAGAATGAGGATCCTATTTCTTTGCTGGCTGTCAGCTACTGTCCGCCCTGCTTCCAGAGGCAGTCTGAACTTCTCCCTCTCATGTGGCCCCCTCCATCTGTAACTCAGTAACAGCATGTCATGTCCTTTCACTGTCTGAAACAATTTGACTTCCTCTGTTGTTTTTATTTAAATGATTAGATGAAGCCAACTCAAGTGTATATTGTTAAAGAAAACAGAAATATGACTAAAAATTAATTAGGAAACTAACATCCATTTAATTACTCAGAGCACTCTCATTTTTTTTCCCAAAGCAAACACAGGTTTTGGTCTAGTTGGCTCCTAGTAAGATTAATATTTATAACCAAACCAAAAACCATTGACTTATTTAAAAACATTGATGATAGCCACTCAACTGACAGTATCAAGTAGCCACATGACATTTGGGCTTTTGTTGTATTCTACCTCTGATAGAAATTCTTTTAAACTGTGTAGCCACAATTTAAAGACAAAACCCTTAGGATGGGCATTAGATGCAGCAGTTAAGCCAATGGTTGGAGTCTCCACATCTCCTTGAAGTGCTTGAGTTCAAGTCCCAGCCTTGCTTCTGATTCCAACTCCATCCTAATGTAAACCCCAGGAAGGCAGCAGGTGATGGCTCAAATACATGCATCCCTGCCACCCACATGGAAACCCAGCTTTAGTTTCTGGCTTTTGGCTTCCTCCTGACCTAGCCCCAACTATTGTATGCACACAAGGAGTGACCAGTGGGTGGGAGATCTCTCTTCATGTTTGTCTCGGTCTCTGCCTTTCAAGCAAATTTAAAAACTTGTACTATTTATGTACATGAACAGCAGTTATAACAGGGCAAAGCAAGAACTAGACCTAACAACCACACAGGAGGTCCTATATAAAGCATACCTCTGCAACATGGCAGATGAAAATTGTGGACAGCCAGACTGGGTTTCATATTAATTGCTATATATCCATGTGTTACAGGTACTTTTGTTAACAACTTTATTGAAATAATTTTCATACCATAAAGCTCACCAGATTGAAGTATGGCAATTCAGTGGTTTTTATCATATTAACAGAATTGTGAAAACATCACTATTATCTCGTTTTAGAACATTTGTACCTTCCCAAAAGAAAGTCCATGTCCCTTGGCAGTCACTCCCTACACTCCCTTCCACCCCCAGGCTCTGGCTATTTTCTTTTTCTTTCTTTCTTTTCTTTTCTTTTCTTTTTTTTTTTTTTTTTTGATAGGCAGAGTTACAGAAAGGCAGAAGCAGAGAGAGAGAGAGGTCTTCCATCCGCTAGTTCACTCCCCAGATGGCTGCAATTGTTGGAGCTGCACCAATCCAAAGCCAGGAGCTTGGAGCTTCCTCCAGGTCTCCCACGTGGGTGCAAGGGCCCAAGCACTTGGGCCATCTACTGCTTTTCCAGGCCATAGCAGAGAGCTGGATCTGAAGTGGAGCAGCCGGGACTTAAACTGGCGCCCATATTGGATGCCGGCACTGCAGGCAGCATCCTTACCCACTACGCCACAGCGCTGGCCCTATTTTTTAAAAAATTATTTGAAAAGCAGAGTGACAGAAAGGGAGAGACAGATATCTTTCAATTGCTAGTTTGCTCTCCAAATCCCACAGTTGCTAGGCTTAGACCAGACTCAGTCCAGGAGCCAGGAATTCCATTGGGTTCTCAGATCTCCCACATTGGTAGTGAGGCAAGTACTTTGGCCATGATCAGCTGCCTTTCCAAGGCACATTAGCAGAAAGAGTAGAGGAGCAGAATTTAAACCAAGTACTCCAAATATGGAATGTAGGCATCCCAAGCATGTGCTTAATCTACTGCATTGCAATCACCAGCCCCTCTAGCTACTTTTGTTCCAAAATGCATATAGGCATAACTAACTGTAAATAACAGTAAAACCTGTCGCTCCCCCTCTTCGCGGAGGAACGACACAGGACCCTGTGCTGTTCTTTTGTCTGCTCGGCCCTCCCCGGGTTTGCTGCTGGTTCTTCCCGGGTTGGCTGCCGTCCCTCCACCTCCGTGGAGGGGAGGGCCCCCCTGCTACTTTCCCCACTTCCGCGGGGGAGTGGCACACCGCTGGCCGGCTCTCTCGGGGGTTGCTCAGATGTTCCTCAGGTGTTCCTGGTGCATGTTGTCTCTCTCCTCCTTTATAGTCCTCTTCCACCAATCCCAACTCCACTACCCACACGCCGAGTATGCTGCTCTCCTCCAATCAGGAGCAGGATCAGCTCCTGCAGGTTACTGGTCGAACTGGAGGCAGCTGTGTAAAAGCTGTTTACTCCTCTCCCAGCGCCATATTGTGGGAGAGCAGATGCATAGAATAAGTCTTAATTCCAGTAACTTAGTGTAGTCCGAGTTGCTCCCCACAAAAACCATTTTTGCATTTTTAAGAGTTATTCATTTGAAAAGCAGAGTTACAAAAAGATATTCCATCCACTGGTTCACTCACCAAATGGCTGAAATGGCCAGGGCTGGGTCAGGACCTGAGCCAGGAGCCCAGAACTCCATCTGGGTCTTCCACATGGGTGGTAGGGGCCCAAATACTTGGGCCATCTTCTGCTTTTCCAGGCATATTAGCAGGAAGCTGGATCAGAAGCAGAGCAATTGCTCTAATATGGGATGCCAGCAATATGGGATGCTGGTGCTGCAGGAAGTGGCCTAACACTTTGTGTCATAGCACTGCCCCCTGTTTTAGCATTTTTTTAATAGTCAAAAAACTTATCTAGAGACTTTGTAATAATCCGTTTATAAAGCCTAGATTAATGCATGCATGTGATCCTCTTGAATAGTATACAGATACTCCCTGATTCAGAACTTGAATCTTAACTGCTAAAAGGAACCTTAGAGGTTCTTGAATATACTTTTGTCATTTTACAGTTGGTAAAAGCGAGACCTAGAATAGCCCAAAGTAGCTTAACAAATTAGTGGCTGTCCTAGATATTTTATTAAATATTATGCTTAATTGACAGATCTCAGAGACCTGGGATTAAAGCTTTACTCCAGAAGACTGAATGTAGTGGAACCAAGAATTCTCTGCACCCGCCCAAAAGAGTACACTTCAAATTCGAGTTTCAAGCACTAGGTAATCAGGTAAATGCAACATAATTACACAGTAATCTTGTTCATTAGATATTAGCAGCCAGCTAAATTAGCCAGAATACACCATTCCATCCATGTGCAGACTATGTTCTTCATAAAAGTATATGATCTAGATGAAGAAAATAGACAATATATGGTAATAAATATACACTACCTGTACTCGGAGCAATGCAACTCTGGTTTCTGATTTAAGGTTTGTGGTGGCATTGGAAGCAGTATTACTGTTAGGTGATAAAGAAAACTTAGGCTCAGTTGGGCAGTTTATAAAAGGGTGAAACTGGAAGTTAAGTCTTGGGCAGTCTTTGAGGTTTTCCAGTTGGTTATATACTAATAACACCTACTGGAAATCACTTGGCCTTAGTCTTCACAAGGCAGGTCACTAAATCCCTGGGCATAGTTAAGGCATTTAATTACTACACAGGTGTAAGTTTGACCCTCCTTCTTCTGTGAACCTTGCCCATTGACACTATGGGGTAAACAAAGGCTTTCCCTCCTTTTCTTTCATTGAAGCCCTTTGATGGCATTAGCAGAGCATCAGGCAAACTACTTCATTCTTCTAGGTTCACAAGGAGAGCTCTATGCCATTTATTCAAACTCACAGAGACATCCAACCACCCCTGTCTAATTTTAGTAATCAAATTTCATGAATATTTTCCAAGATTGCGAACTCACAAAATAAAAGCTTTTTCTTTCCTTCACAGACTAAGCTGTCACTCAATGAGAGATTCTCTAGTCTGAGAGCTCAGAAGAAACAAGAATCATTAAACTAATGATGACCAAAATGTCCTTCCTCCTAAAGATCTGTTAACACGAAGATTGCAGTGAATTATGTTGAAGAGTGTATACGATACTCTCAATACTTAACTTCTTGTTATCCTTGTTAAAGTATTTTCCTTTGTAGGTTTTTATGTGAGTAATCCTATTGCAGTGAATTATATTGAAGTGTGTATATTATACTTTTTCAGTACTTAGCTTTTTTTATTGTTATGAGTAACCCAAATGTAGTGACTTATATTGAAGAGTATATATGACATTCTTTCAGCACTTACCTTTGTTATCCTTGTTAAAGTATTTTTCCTTCGTAATTTTCCATGTGAGTAACCAGTGAAAACTAAGTACTTACATGAAAGAAAAAAGATGTTTAGCTTTGTTTGCGTGAAAGAGCAGGAAGATGAGCAAGAACAAGTGCAGTTTACAATGAGATTCTACAAACCAGCAATGTTTTCAGAATTACATTTCTTTTCAACACTAGAGAATTGGCATCTATGGCCAAATTTTTTCCTTGAGCTCTGGAATCTATGTATGATTCTTGAGAAGGCTCCATTTTATCAGTAAAGCAAGATAATTGACAGGGGTCTTTCATGACCAAATATTCTGTGTCAGAAAAGTAAGATTGAATTCTGTTTATTAAAATGCTAAATTCGTATCCTAATGTTTACTTTTGATATGAATTTGTAAGAATTATAAACTCTTCTCCTGTTATTTTGTGTAAACATGTTAATAAAACTTAATTGAAAGGCATAACTGTTTTCCCATCCATTGATACTTGAGGTCCAAAGTAACAGTGATCCTGGTATAGATTAACAAAATATAATTTCAACCTCAGCTGCTGTTCCAGGTAAGCCTGCTCTTGGAGAAAACTCAAAGTGGTGACTTTATAATTAAGTGGTACTTCCATGTAAGGCTCCCGTCTTTTAGCCTAGTTTAACAAATTCTGTCCTCATATTTAATAGTTACTTGTAGGAAAATGGAATGTAGCATAGAGATATAGGAAAAGTTAGAGTCTAGTCTGGTCTACTTACCCCATTGCTTTCTGAACCAAATTAACACATAGTAAAGACTCTTAGAACCTTGTGTTGAGAAGCAGAATGATCTTCGGTTTGATTATTGCTGCAAACTCCTAATCTGGAATATGGAGAAAGACAGTTTACGTGATGCTTCTTAAGAAATATGTATCAGATGGTTTGTAGAGTGTTGCTTCTGATCATAAAAACCATACGTGGTCATTATAGAAATTTTAGAAAATGCAAAATACCTAAGATGTCACACACATATATACACATAATAATTATAATATCTACACCCCTATTTTCTTGTCACTTAAGACTGATTGTTCATAGCAAATCTTTGTACCACATTTATCCAGGTCCCCATTGCTGGACAGTTAGGCTGTTTCCAATTTGAGTTTTCATGAATTATGCTTGTGGATTACTTCTCAGCCTTTTGGCTAAGATCAAGTGTAAATTATGCTTGTGATGAGATCCTATATCTTTACCGTACATCTCTAGTTCACTCCATAAGACAATTGGCTGGAAGTAGAATTGCTAGATCAAATAGTACATATATTTAGAATATTGATAAATTGATGTATGGAAATGTGCCATTCGGTGTCACCAGTACCAGAATATGAGAAAACTAGTTGTCTGAGGCCCTTTATAAGCAGAGAATACAAAGCTAAAAATATTGTTTTTAATGTCTTGCTTGTTGATAGGTAATGTGTAGAAACAGCATAAAGCAGTGAAACAGCAATGTTTTCCAAGCTCTAAAAGTCTTTCTGCTGTATTAACCAGCAGCCATATAACTCACAACTCTGTTTTCTCTCCACCTTGAATAATATTAGAAGTTTAGGAGCATAAACCATCAGTTTCAACAATGCCAATTGGCCGTAGGAAGGTACTTCAAAATTTATTTACATATTTATTTGAAAAGCAGAATGATGGAGAGGAAGTGAGTGTGATCTTTCACCTACTGTTCAATTTCCAAATGGGTGCAACAGTTGGTCCGGAGCCAGGAACTTCATCCTAGTCTCCCATAGGGATGCAATGGTACCAAGTACTCAGGCCATCTTTCATTGCCTTCCCAGCACATTAGCAGGACACCCGATCAGAAGCAGAGCAACTGGGATTAGAACCTGCCTTTTGATTGGGGGATAACTCACTGTGCCACAATACCAACCCCTAGAAGGGTACTGCAGAGTTCATAGAAAAGGAAACTAAAAGACAAATTTATTTTGGTGCAAAAAATTTTGAAAACCATGCACAGAGTCTTCAAAAAGTTCATGGAAATGCATATGATGAAAAATGTATGACTTTCAGAAGCTCTCTACCAAAATAAACTTTATTTTCTCTACAGAAATGATTAAAAAAAAAGAAAGGAAATTAATGTTTCACTGAGAATTTTGTGGTGGACTTGAAAAAACTGTAGCTGCCTGGGGGAGCTTCAGAGCTAGGGCTTGAGATGACTCACTGAGAAGAAAGCTGAGTGTGCTGCCATTGGCATTAGGGAAGAAGCTCCAAGCTCCTCAGGCCAGATCCTTGGGAGGTGACATGGCCACTGGGGAGAGAGAACTACAAAAGTTCTGGGGCCATCAGCAAACAGATGAACTACCCTTAGCACTAGCTGGAAAGATACTTGAATCAAATCACTGTGTCAGGTCACCAGTGCAGTGTTTCCTACTGAATTCCTACAGGGAATTCTTTGGTGTTGCAGATAATTGCATTCTAATGTAGCTATTCTATCAAAGTGGATGATGGGAGAGAGAGGCCAGCTGGTCAGGGCCAGGCTTTGAAAGTTCCCAGGTTCTCTGAAATAAACTGGCTGAAGGTTCTGACTTCGGCATTCAGTCTGTGGGTGAGGTTGTCATCACCATCTGCCTTCATTTAGAATCGACACATATTGGCCACTACACTGCAGGAAATCCAAGCTTCTGGGGTGTTCTTCGCATCTCGGATTTCTTTTCCCAAACTCTTGAACAAAACATCAGCATATTGCTTTGTTGTTAGTGCTTCTGCACTGAAGCCCATGATCTTGCCTAAAAACTCTGGAGAATTAAAGATGTTTGAGACAACTGCTCCAGCATTAGCAACGGAGATGCCATCGTCAGTACATCCCCCATGGGTAGTGCCTTTAGGGGCTTTCACAGGCCCCAAGAGGTGAGAACATTTTCAAAGTAAATTGCTAAGTAGATGGGGATGCCAATGGACAAAAAATCCTACTACACCCCTTCCTTACCATAAAAGGGTGGTGTGGCAAATCTGCCCATGCTCGGCTTCTGCACATTCTGCAGGCTGCTGCACACCACATGCTTCAGGCTCAGGTGCTTGGCAGTGTCCGCCACCAGCTTCTGACAGCCTTCTCTACTGAAATGAGCCTAAAAGTTGGTCACCACAAAGGTCCCATAGGTACCTTTGAAGGCAGCCTCCACAGATGCTTTGTCATTCAGGTCACCTTTGACCACCTTAGCACCAAAGGTTCCAGAGCACCAGGGCATTGAGTCATCACATCCCTGGTCAATGCCTTCACTGCAAAATGTCTGCTGTCCAAAATGGCCCTGGCCACAGAGCCACCCTGAGCACCTGTTGCTCCAAACACTGCAGTTACCTTCATGTTGACCATGTTACCAGGCAAAGAAAAAGTTGGAGTAGCAAAGCTGTCCTCAGAGCAGCAATAGCAGCTGAAATACCAATAAGCTTCACCTTTTAATTGCATTATCCATGAACTTTTTGAATTCCCTTGTATATGTAAAAAAAAAAGGAAAAAAACACTGAAGTATAAACAATGAGTTATATTCTGGGTAGTAGGAGTTGCATACCAATTTCTTTCTTCTTTTTTTAAGGTTTTATTTATTTGAAAGGCAGACAACAGAAAGAAGGACAGAGAAAGAGGTCTTGCATCTGCTGGTTCACTCCCCAAATGGCTGCAATGGCTGAGATAGGCTGAAGCCAGGAGCCAGGAGCTTCTTCCAGGTCTCCCACATGGGTGCAGGGACCCAACCACGCGGGCCATCTTCCTCTCTTTTCCCAGGTGCACTAGCAGGGAGCTGGATTGGAAGTGGACCAGCCATATGAGATGCTGACACTGCAGGTGGAGCCTTATCTATTCCACAGCACCGGCTCCCAGTTTTTATTTTCTTCCGTTTTTAACAGTACTTACCGAGCTTTTGTTTGTTTTAGAAAAGATTTATTTATTTACTTATTTATTTGAAATGCAGACTGGACAGGGGAAGGGAGAGAGTTTTCCTCTGCTGGTTCACTGCAACAACCAGGGCTGGGTCAGGATGGAACCAGGAACCAGGAACTCCATAAAAGTCTCTCACATGGGAAGCAGGGACCCAAGAACTGGGACCCTCATCTGCTGCCCACCAGCATGTGCATTAACAGGAAGCTGGATTGGACGGCAAGTAGCCAGACCTGGAACCAGCACTCCATATAGGATACAGGCATCCTAAATGGTGGCTTAACCTGCTGTACCACAATGCTCACCCCCTCCAAAGTATTCTGATGCATTTTAAAATTTGCGATTACACAGTATACTCTTCCTTAGTGGTAAGTAAAATTCTTGGCTAAGATCAGTTGAAATCAATCTTTCCTTTTAGTTTTAAAGTGTTAAACTCTCCCTTTTCCCCCTCTACTACATTCCCACTCTTAATGCTCTATCCAGTGTATAATAATGGATGCTGAAGCTACTATCAGAATATGTTTGACCATAGATTTCCAGCTCAGTCCACCAAAGATTAGTTACGGAATTGAGCACCCTCTTGGCTGACATTAAAGGCTGCCTCCATGGTCTACTTTACCAGAAAGAGGAGCAAAAGGAGCAAGCCAGGCATTATGAGCAATGTAAGGATAGGTGGCAGGCTTTACACAGTGATCTGCCATCAAGGAGACAGAACAGGCCAGTCCACCCCAAATGGCATTGGTTTTCAATGTGGAAAGCCAGGGCTTAAGATGGACACAGAAGTCAGCTTATGAAAAGCCCTGGCAGCTTTGCCAGCCAAGAGCTGGGTCACTGGAAACGGAACTGCCCTGGAGTTGAAGGACTCCCAGGTCAGAGCCACAGACCCTATTGGCTCTAAGTTGAGAAAAGCCTATCACTCAGCCCAGCTTCCAAAGTAGCCACCACTGTTGAGGGGACACCCAAGTAGGACGAGTATCATTGTAGGCAGAACTGTAAATTTCCTTTTAGAGATGCCACCTACCTTCTATTCAGGCCAGCTCTCCTCCCAGGCCAGCTAGGTAATGGAAGTCAACATGAAGTAGGCAGGCATACAGGCTAAAATTGATTAGTTTTGTGAACTGGAAGACCACGCCTTCACCATGCCTCCGTGTGACCTCATGCCCCTACCTGGCTACACCTGAGTGCCTACCAGCCAATCAGGTTAATTAACCACTCCCCTTTGAAAGTGAATTAAAAGCCTGGAATAGGGTGTGTCCACCCCTTTTCTCCCTCCCTCACCCTGGCATCTTGCCAGTAGGGAGCTGGCTGCAGCCCTGAGCCTCCAGGGCACGTGGCCTTCAGGCCAACCCACCCTATGCTTTCTGGCTTAGATGCTCTTCCATGTGGCTGGTTCCTGGTACTTGGTATGAACCCAGATCTACCCCTCTCTCTTAGAAAAAGCCCTCACTCTCCTATGCATGTCTCTCACCGAGTAAAAGCTTAAAATGTACCACGCTGCCTCATTCATTTATGCCGGTATTTAGAATTCTTCTCTAAATATTAGGCAAGAACCCACTTGG